AAAAAAAAAAAAAAAAAAAAGTGGCTATAAAGTAGCAGTTAGAATATGATTCTATTTTTGCAAGAAATATATATACACACATATACATATATATTAATGTTTGCACTTAGAAGAAAATCCAGAAAAGTACAGACTAAACTATAACCCTGGTTTGCTCTGGATGGCAGAATTACAGGGACATGAATATTTTCTCAAAAGGAAAATATAATTCTGTGACCCTTTTGCAATCAAGCCTCACTCATTCATGAAATGAGGTCACTGGTCTGATAAAATCAAGTCATTCTTTCTGGCCCTTCTTAAAAATTACGTAGTAATGATTATTCTAGTCACTAAAAACTCTCCAAATGAATGTCTATTTCTGAACTGACAATGGAGTTCTAGAGCACAAACTGTTTTAAACAAAAAGTTTCCAGGATAGGACAAATATCACACAGAAAAAGAAGTCTGGTTTAAAAAGCTGAGGACAGCATGATCTGGCATACACTCTCAAGCACAACTCCAAACCCAGGCGGGCCTTTATCCTCTTTTAGTTAAACATGCAAATAACACTAACTAGCTTTTTGAAAGCCATCCCCACGAGAAAGGTAGTCTTTTGTAGGCAGTGGCATTAAAAGAGAGAGAGAGATGCTGGGAAAGGTATTAGAATGTCAGAAAGCACCCAGAAAGCTTTCAGGCATGCAGTTTGGCCATAATAATAAGCTCCAAAATCTGGAGAAAAAAAAAATCATGTAAGAATTCAGAGAAAAGAGGGAGATCGTCTCTTCAAATCTTTAGTAGGGTGCTCCTCAAAAAAAAAAAAAAATTAACTTTGAAATATGGGGATTTTAAAATGAGTAAATCATTTAAATTTTATGTTTACACTAGCGAGTCATAAATCTGCTTTTTGCTTTATTATTAAAGTGATCATATACATTGCAAAAGTTTCAATACATAAAATTATAAAGAGTATAAGTAATGCATTAATGACAATCAATTCCTGTCTTAAATTCATGAAACAACAGAGAATTTAAACTGTTGTTTTACCTTTAACCCAGTCCTCCATTTAAGTGACACTTACCCCCTAACAGCAACTGCTCAACATGTAGGAAGGACCAACATTAACAGTTTGTATACATCCTTTTAGATAATGTAATTATTTTTAGAATTTATGCCGCTGCAGAATTTTTATCTAAAACCATATACATTTAATAAAAAGAGTAAGGACTCTGGGCTAGGCAGGTCTACCAAAAGTGAATACTTAATAGATGTAAATAAGTAACGGCTAGTCAATCTGGACCTGACTAGGCATTAGTAAGTGTGTTTTAAACTCTCTGGACTACACATATGTAAAATATGTTAATATATGTGCATAAAGTACTTATGCATTAATATATATGTACATACAAAAAAATCCAGGAAGGGTAGATTAAACAATAAGGCTGGTTTTTCTCTGGATAGGAGTGTAGGGGTAAGGTGCTGTGATAACATATTAAAAGCATGGAGATGAAAGCACTTAACATATATATAGTACACTTCAACATGGAAAATAAACATATACACTCCTCCCTACATGGAGCCCTGAGATTTTTCACAAGAGGAAAGAAAAACTGAGTGTCCTCTCTGCTTACAGTATTTTCTTTTGCTGCTTTTTGATCTGGTGGTTGTTATCTGTACATGTTCCTTCTATCTTCAGTGACGTCCAAGAAAAAGAAAGAGGCTGGGCGTGGTGGCTCATGCCTGTAATCTCAGCACTTTGGGAGGCTGAAGCAGGCAGATTGCTTGAGCTCAGGAGTTAGAGACCAGCCTGGGCAACCTGGCCAAATTCCATCTTTACAAAAAAATAAAGTAACAAATTATGCAGTCCCAGCTACTCAGGAAGCTGAGGTGGCAGGATCTCTTGAGTCCTCAAGGCAGAGGTTGCAGTGAGATGAGATCATACCACTGCATTCCCGCCTGGGTGACAGAGTGAGACCCTGCTCAAAAATCTATATATATATATATATATATATATATATATATATATATATATATATATATACACGTGTGTGTGTGTGTGTGTGTGTCGATAATAGTGTAGAATCTACTTACTCCTGCAGATATTAGATCCCTGCTTTTTCTCATTAAAAAGTAAAGAGTAACAAAGGAGAAAGATTTGAGACTTAAAAATAGAACCTTGCTGCTTCTGACATCATGACCTTGAGATTCTCAAATGCTTAGCTGAAGTAAAATATACATACATTTTGAAAGATAAAAGCTTAAAATAAGATCAATGGAGACTATTACAATACAGTATTGTTTAGATTACGAAGACATACTTAGCACTTAGCATAGCCTCATAATTTAAATAAAATTAGGTCTTAAGAGGGTGCTACAAAACAAGTTCCCACATCAGCTTACTTCCCCCAGCCCACCTCGGCATGCAACACACTATTCAACATTAAAACATCTAGCAGGCCGGGCGCGGTGGCTCAAGCCTGTAATCCCAGCACTTTGGGAGGCCGAGGCAGGTGGATCATGAGGTCAAGAGATCGAGACCATCCTGGTCAACATGGTGAAACCCCGTCTCTACTAAAACTACAAAACATTAGCTGGGCATGGTGGTGCGTGCCTGTAAT